AATATAACAAAAATGATAAGAAATATTTGTGATAATTGGAGAAATTGAGGTATGTATATAGCATTGATGGACTTGTAAACTGGTGCAGATACTGTGGGAAACTGTTTGGCAGATCCTCAAAAGATTAAACAGGACCTAGGAATTTTATTCCCAAATATTCAAAACTCCAAAAGCCAAATTGACTGCCATTGAGTTGATGCCAACTCATAGCCACCTTACAGAACAGGGTTGAACTGCCTCTATGAGCTTCTGAGACTCTAACTCGACAAGAATAGAAAGTCCAATCTTTTTCCCTTCGAGTGCCTAGTGATTTCCAGCTGCTGACTTTGGAGTTAGCAGCGCACTCTGCCATTTGGGCTCCGAGAGTAAGTAGAAAGGTATTGCTGTCTGCTTTTTCTTGGACAATCTCTATTCTCAAAGTGGAGTTAACTTAAAATGATGTCATTTTTCTACCCTGAAATGAGAAGAGGAATGGTAAGTCTCTATTCTAAAAACAAAAACAAAAGCTTTCCTCAAATATTTCTTAAGAGATCAACAGAATATAGTCAAACATACAGGGTAGGGTGAATTTTCTTTCACTTTGGCTTGATGGAGTATCTAGCTCCCGTGAAGAAAATTCCATAACCACTCTTGCTTCCATAAGTTTCATTATCCGTGTTGAACAGATGTGGTTGACGATTTAATGTCATGAGTTCAGGCACATTATTTGAGCTGAGACCTTTGTTCGTATCAAAAGTAAGAACGTTGCTGGAATGAGTAAGGCTTTGTCACCAGCACGAGCCTTTTCTCAAGTAATACGACCAGACTCCACTGCAAGAAGACCCGAAGCTATGAGAGGAAAGTTCTGACCTGTGTACAGTAAGGCTCTGGTCTCTGTGTAGGCTCTCTCAGCTACATAACCACGTTTGGGGCTGGATGCCCTAAAGCCAAGATGCCAGACTGGTGGAAAATGCTTATCCTGATAAAGTAAAATATTGTGCAGTGATTGAGAGACTTCTAGGGCTGCCATAAAATTCAGATTGAATATGAGGAAAGGTCCTTTTTAAGCACTCTTCAAAATATTGAAATCAGCCAAGTAGCATCAACACATTGAAATGTCTAATTTCACTGACTCACTGCCATCATCAAGTGGATTACAACTCATCGAGAGCCTATAGGGGAGAGTCAAGTCGCCCTGTGGGTTTCTGAGGCAGAACAATTTTGAAAGCAGAAAGCCTCATCTTTCTACTGTGGAAGTGGCAGGCAAGTTGGAGCTATTGACATTGTGATTAGCAGTAGTACTTAACCCACTACATCACCAGGGTCCTTTCAGTCTAGTTGATGTGCTGTGGAATTCTAAATTCACAAAACAGTGAACTAAGGCTGGCTGATCACGTCCAAAAGTTTCCTTACTGAAAATGACAACTACCAAAAGCCCCAAACATCCAGACCAGTAATTGATTTATGACTACGCTTATCCACCCCGTCTTTGTTCCCGGCAACAACTTCCTTGGGAGCAACATTACATCCTAATGCCAACCGGACTCCTGTGGATCTGTGGTATTGGTTGGGGCCCTTGGCCGTGTTAGGGGCAGTCACGTATTATGTTAAATCCTTTTATGCTTAATGTTGAAATTGTCCACACTCTGGAGTTCAGGAACCAAGTATTGGCGATTTTTGTGGGCAAGTCTCACAGCTAGAGTGAGGCAGACGATTTAAGCCTCCACGCTCAGATTCCCGGAATCTCAGGACTGTTTATAAACTTGTGGGGAGGTGTTAAAAGCAGGGGCCATAATTCACACTAAGAATAGCTCAGGTTGTGTTTTCTCTGGGCCAGGTTCTGTGTTGCACGCTGTGACTCATTTTCAGTTAGCTCTCATAAACAACCCTGTGGACTAGGTACTATTATTGGCATATGCTATTTACCATGTGAAAGATAGTTTGCTCTCACCTCAGCAGGTTGGAAGGCAGGTGCGTCTTACGCCGCCAAGCCCGTGGCTGCTGTTAAGGATGAAGGTCTCTAAATCTGGGGAGGAAATGTGGAGGGATTCTCGGCTTTCGGAGGGCGTGAAGGGCCTTGCCACTCACGGTCCCTGATCTCCAGAGGCTGGGCGCCCCCCTGCACCAACAGATCAAGGTCGTTGATCCCAGATCCCACACCCAGGTGGCGAGGAGAAGGGCGCAGGTCACAGGGGCCAAGCCTGGAGGCGTCCACGGAGGCGGTAGCACAGCATCCGTGACGGCCCCACTTCGGCCGGGTCCTGGCACGGCTCAGTGCTCTCTGCCCACAAGGTTTGCCCAGCCAGGCAGTGGGAGGCAGTCTGAGCCGCTCAGCCGAACCGGGGGGCGGGCCTGCCTCTGGGCGGGGCCGGGCCCTGGAGGGAGGAGAGCGTGCTCCTTATGCGTACGCGAGGGCGGAGAGGCGTCTCTGCGGCGCCCTGAAGCCGGGAGCCCCGGAATCCCACCCTTCCGAGTCGCGATTGCACCCGCTGCTGAGATGCGCCTTCGCCTGCTCGTGCTGCTCGCGCTGCTCGCGCTCGGCCAGGCAGGTCGCGTCGCCGGGGCGCGCAGCCACAGCTTGCGGGGGAGCTGGCGGGTTCGCAACGCGAACGGCTCGCTGGATCTACGCGGAACCGTCCCGGGCTGCGTGCACAGCGCCTTGTTCCAGAAGGGCCTGATCCAGGTACAGCGCGCGTCTGCCTGACGCCGGCCTGCACCCCGTTACCCGGGTGGTAAGAGGGGCCCTCCGGAGCCCGGGCCTGCTCTTGACGCTTTTGCACTAACTTCCTCTTTGAATCTTCTGATTCGTGGCGAAAACTATCCAGGCAATTTATCTCCCGTTGTCCAAGAGCAAGTACTGTGCTAGATCGACACTGAGCGGCCCACTTTGAACCAACAGTAATTCTAGAAGGCGAAAGGATAGAGAAACCAGTAATTCTACCAGCAGTTTGTTTATTCCACCACTCTCATCGGTGGCGCGGAAGCTGACGGCATGCTCTCACTGATAAGGCATGAAGCGGAGACTTACTGTCTGGACACATGCTAACGAAGGGTTAACTATATCCAGTCACGTCTCAGGGTTTTATTTTCACTTTTAAGCCAGCAGAAATTGGGATTTGGATGTAAAGTAGGGGTTGGCAATCCAGCTAGAGGTTAAATATTTTTAAAAGCTCACTGGAAGGCAGAGAAAGGCGTGTGCACGCGTGTGGCTGCCCCAGTAGATAGTTCCATTTCTAGACTCCCGGGCCAATGTGGGTAGACACTAGAGGAGAACACGTTCATGGTCTTCCGCCTGGGCTCATCGATTTGCAGACTTTCCGTCTTCCACCCCTGTTGAGGCCCCACCTGCTGCACGTGCTCTATGCTCTTCTCTATTGCTTTTGCTTGGGACAAGATGTATGTGATACATATTTTGCATGCATTGCCCCAGTTCCCATACTTGATGCAATAGGCATTCTGGTCTGGTTTCTGTGGGTGGTAGGGGATGATGTCCGGACAAGCAGATCTGCACTGGAAGAAGTACGGCCAGAGTGCTCTTTGGAGGCAAGGATGGCAAGACTTCATTTAACGCACTTTGGACAGGTGTACCAAAGGACCCGTCCTCGGAGAAGGATATGATGTTTGGTAAAGTGGAGTGGCAGCGAAAAAGAGGAATGCCCTTGAGTTAGTTAATTGTGCCAGCTTGGCCGATAATCACATGTGGGGCTAATTGAAAGGCGGAGGGATAAATGGGTGGTGAGCCTCCTCTTTCTAGTTCTTGGGTTTCTTGCTTTGTGATGGTCGCACCAGGGTGCAGCTGCCTTAGCAGTTCCCTGCTTCAGCTTGCAAGATTGACTTCCT